AAATAGCATCACTCATACAATTCATTTTCTCATTCTCATTAGTTCGTCGTTCATTTTGTAGTAATCCATTTTATTGGTACAATGCCGATCGCACATGTCACTTGTAACTTTTTTTTCTTCTTCTTCTTCTTCTTCTTCTTCTTCTTCTTCTTCTTCCTCTTCTTTCCAATTACGTGATGGCAATGGAATTAACACGTTACTGTTGTCCATAAAAAACTTTTGTCGATATCCAACGGTACTGCCATAAGCACGCCAGCAAAAAGGTAATTCCAAGACTTCTTGCAAGACAATTCTTTCAATTTGTTCTTTCGCTGCGCAAGCAAGCATTCTTTGCCACGATGCGTTCTGACGAGGGCATAGCTGATCGCTTTTATGCGAACGAGTATTATTATTTTTGTTTCACTTTGTTAACACATTGGAGCTTGCTACATTGGGCGCAGAGTTTTTCACGCTAAATGGATTGCTACTTTACATTAAAAGTTTGAACGAACTTTTGATTTTCAACGTCTTTCTTTTTCTTTTTTTTTTGTCTTCTTTTTTTCTTTTTTTTTTTTTTTCTTTTTAAATTTAGAAACTTGTACGAATCTACAATCTTGTGCGAATCCATCATTTGATTGAATGCGACATCTTAGTTTGCTTATAAATCACAATACTTGAATTATGATATTCGACATATATATATATAACGCTTTGATAAAATAAATGGCACTGTGTTTTTTGAGGACCTCTAGCCTTAGAAATAATATATAATGACGTTTTACGATTTTACTTCTCGTTGCCTTGATTTATTCGCTTTCTTGAATATAATATACCCGACGAAAAGTCTATTCATTCGTTTATATGAAATGTGGCTTATGCAGTGTTTTTTTTTTTTTCTTAATATTATACATATTTATATATATATATACCACCTTGCCATGAAAATAGTCACTTTATACGATTTGCCCTAGTTTTTTGATTGTTCTTAAAGTTCCACTGTTATGTCTTCCTTTGGTATTGGATATGTTGTTTCTGACTATAATGGAAAATAATCATTTCGTCTCCTTTTTTTTTTTTTTTCGTTCGTTTTTTATTATTGAGATTTCATGTCATCCATCGTTAGCATTTCCTTTTTGTCGTGTCTATTTCGAATAAAATCTTCGATTCCCTCGATAGGAAATGTTTGTCCAAGTTCCATTTAGGAACATACACTTTGTATAAAATTTTAAAATTGCAAAAGATTTTCAATGTTTAGTTCTCTTGGTATACATAATATTTTTTCAATTTAGATATTTAGCATACATTTGATAGAAAATTTTATTCAGCAAGTTTCATTTAGGAATATGCATTTCTAAAATTGTTAAAAAAAGAAAAAGACACTATAGAAGGGAACGGCTGACAAATCAGTCACTTAGAACAAAACACTACCAACCGACTGATCACCTTCCTTAACGATGTTTGATAAAACAGATCTCCTCCTTAGCGAATTACCACTACACACTTTGGAACTTCGTATTTTTACTCTATTTAACTCAGCTTCTATTATTATCATACTGTTATGTCACCACGCTATGTTCAACTTTTACGCACAAATCCCTCCCCCCCCCCCTTCACATAATTTAGCGATACATAATTTGTCGAAGCTTCTCTAGAGAACGAGTCGCGTCAACCAACGTGAGCTATACTAACTCACGCGAGAGAGTTGAAACACAGCCACGAAGAGAGTTGAGCATGGTAAAACAGAAACCTATTTTTTTTTTTTTTTTTTCTTCAGATTTGCCTTTATATTATAGCGTTTATTAGCGACATTTGAGAGAGAAAAAAAGAAAAAGCTCCACCACTTGTTACAGAGCCTCTTTATAACAACGAATCGATTAAACGAGAGCCTCGTTAAAATAATTTGCGAATCTTGTAGCAAAAAAAAAAAGAAAAAGAAAATTAATCACGAGAACGAGTCCAAGCGATTATAACGAATAATACGCAATTATTTATGTCTCTGTTCCTCTGTTTATATAACACTACGTCTACTACTTCTACAACTATTTCGGCCCACGCAAGGCTCCATTCTGAACTCAGGTAAAATGGAGTCTTGATTGATATTTGATTGATATTTGATGCCGTAACAGGCAGTGACGATTTAGCATATATATATATACATATGTCTCGTGAGTGGTTGAGTCTGTCTGTTGTTTTTTTAGCTCTTTCAGTACGCTTTCAATATATTTGTATGTGTATTGTGTGTGTGTGTGTATATATAGTTTTGATTTGTCACGGTTTTTTTTTTTTTTTTTTTT